CAGGATAACAAGAGCTGTATATGATGGTATGTATACAAATTCTCACAACCAATAAGAAAAAAATAGCCTTACTTATATTTATGTACGTCGAAGTCTTTCTTAGATACTCGGAATGATCAAAAGCCTGTTATTGGCTACACAAAGACTGAAGACTTATGTATTAATTTCGAATACAAGATCATTGGTTGTAAGATAAAGAAAACGTATGGGACGAAAATAGCCCTTTATTTGACTGACAAGGACGACGAACCACTCTGGATATTTTTACCAAAGAGTTATGTAAATAAATTTTCAACTAAAACACCATTTAAGAAATTGAAGGAAAATGGAATAACACATCTTGCATATAAAGGAAAAGAGATGACTATAGCTCAGCTTGTTTACAATTTATCTCAAACGAGTCAAAGTATTAAAGAGTTGGATCCTTACAATGGATCATCAGTTTCACATTTTCCATTAAGTCAGATACAATTCAGCCAACCTCACAATGTACGCGCATCAAATAAAATTATTATACCCTTGCAGAGGGTATTATAATTTTGGTCAAAAGTGTGCAACGCAGTGAAGGAGACATCTCCGACCATATAAAGTATATATATTCTTGATCAGGATCACCTTCTGAGCATGTCCGTCTGTCCGTTTGTCTGTCCGTCTGTCTGTTTGTTTCTACGGGAACAAGTCTCTGAGTTTTGAAGCTGTCGTCTTGAAACTTTGCACACACCCTTCTTTCCTTTGCAAGCAGTATATACGTCGGAACGGCCCGGATCGGCCAACTATATCCTATAGCTGCCATATAACTGATTGATCGGAAATGGTATAACTTTAGTGTTTTTAGAGTTAGAGAGTTCAAATTTGAAACAAGAGCTATTTTTGGCAAAATAATACGACACGCCAAATTTTATAAGGATCGGTCGACTATATTCTATAGCTGCCATATAACTGAACGATCGAAAATGACCCACCTTTTGTGTTTTTGAAGAGAGAAAGCTGAAACTTAGTACAGACTCTATTTTTGATCAGTTGATACAACCTACCAAATTAGATAGGTTGTACCAAATTCATTAGGATCGGCCGACTATATCTTATAGCTGCCATATAACTGAACGATCGAAAATGGTTTTTGGTAGAAATACCAACTTTGGTATTGTTAAAGATAGAAGTTTGGGACTTGTTTTAAATTTTGTATTATAATAAATTGGGTTATATTATCATATTCTCATAAGGATCGGCCAACTATATCCGATGTTTGCGATATATATCCGGTTTTAGCTGCAAGGGTTTATCAATTTCGGCTCCGCCCGAAGATAGCTTTCCTTTCTTGTTTTTACTTCAATTTGAAGACATGCTTTTCGAGGAACATTTAAAAAACTTGAATATTTAAAAACAACGCTAGAGGATTTAGAAGAAAAAGAACTCTTGTACTCCAAATATGGATTGCACTACAAAATATGTCCTTGGAGTGATGATGAAGCAACTGAAGGTCCAGAAACTTGTAGTTGCCACAAACTTTCTCTATATATAAAGGAAGCTAAGGATATTATGATAAGATACTATAAAATAACTAAAAGAATGTATCCAAATCCATGAAAATGAAAAAGAAGCAATAGGGTTGTATGAAACTTCTTCGGTTTTCAAAATACAGCTTTGCGTTGGATGAGGCTCAAAAAGATCCAGTTCGCTTTTCATGCATTCAATGTGATTACTCATTTTGATTTGGAAAATATATCACTAATTTTAATTTTTTTTTCTTGACTTTTTTGAAAGCGTATGTTTACCACGTTGTTGTTAAATGATTGCGATTTTCTCTTGGTCTCCTCTTTTTATGCCTTTTTCCTTTATCACTTTGTAATTTAGTAATTTTATGAACTGCTCTGTCAGATAGATTATTTAATGCGATTTTACTTTGTTCTTGAATGATATTTTGTAGAGGTTTTCGTCCCAAATCATTTGTAACAGCCCTGAAAGAAAAAGTGGTTTAATATAATTAAAAAGTCCACTAAAGAAATTTATCAATACCACGCACATGCTGAACAATTCTAGGGGAAACATAGAGACTACCTATGTTACTTAAGCTTCCACCGCATTGATTTAAATAATATTGATGATAAAATTTCGCAAAACTTTGTTTCTCTTTTTATTTTGGTATGCACATAATTCTTGTTGAATTTTAATCCATTTATCATAATCACTAATTTTTTTATTGTTTAAAATTGGTCAAAATTTTAAATTTATAAGATCATTTCCTCGATCATTTACTAAAAGTTTATGGTATGCATTTCGATGCATTAATATTACTTTGGTTAGCTGATGCTTACTTTAAATCATGATTCAAAATTTTTCCAAAAATCCCAGAAAGCAATGAACTTATTAAAATTGGTAAAAATCCTCCTTTTTGAATAAGAACTCTTCTCTTAGAATTTAAAGATTGTTTTGAGCTGGAAAAATGTTGTAATACATTTTTATACTTTTTTAATAAATTCAAGACATTTTTTGATATTTTATGGTTTCCTTTTAAAGTATTTATCACTATCTCCGACAATGTTCTTACTAACTCGCTATCACTATTGCAAATAATCGCTTTTCGAAGTTTATTATTTGCTTTTCGAAGTTTATATACAATAAATGTTTGTTCGCTTTCAATCGCCTTATGCTTTTTCTGCAAACCATTTTAATCTGAATAGCAAATTGAATATAATGGATTACAAATCTCTGTTCTAAATCTTAAAAGATCATTTATTCCTTGCGTAAGATCAATAAGTAAATAACCATGCGGTTTATTCGTGACTTCTTTATATATTCTAAAAAGTTCTTTGGGGTTTTCTGGATATATCTGTCTAGCTAAACATTGAAATTGTAATTTATCTCTAGGATTTTTAAATGCCACAATGTATTTTGTATTTAGTGATATGTCTCGGGTGTGCGTAGATTTCTGAAATATTTTTTGTGTTACAACAATTACAGATAAATTTCGATGATTAGATCCTTTGGTAAAAAGTTCACATACATTTTTATTAAATGCTCCCGTCATCAAATCATCTAATACCAAAAGTATAGGTTCATTATTTTAATTTTCAATGGAGTCAGGTACCCCATGGTAATATTCAATATTGGTCAAATTTGGTTTCGCTTGCTCTTCACCGTAACACCATACTTATTATTCTATCTATTGAAGTACTTATTAAGTCCTTCCACAAATAAGCATCGTAAAAGGATGAACAAATTGTGTAAACATTTTGATAAAAGTTTTTTTGTTTATTTAATGTTAATTACCAAAAATAAATTTTTCTAATGATTTTTTTCCTGGTCCCGTTTTTTAGAGCAGTCCTACTCAAAATGAGTATCAGAACCACAATAGTTGCAGTATATAAGTTGACTGTATCCTTTTTTACGAGGATCTTTTCCAAAGATGCGATCCATTTTGCTAAAACAACTTCTCAATTAAAGTACTAAAATCATACTGTTTATTAAAGTAATTTATACATATGATTCTCCGTTATAGTATATATCGTAATTACAGTTTTCTAAAATTACAAAAAGCTTAAATAAATTATTTAGAGCACATCTAAGCTTAAGTTTTTTGTGAATTTTACAGGTGGTAAAAAAAATTAGGATAACATGTCAGGCTCTTTCCTACATCTATATCGAAAATATTATTCGATAGAAACTTGGATAAAAATTCCTTTTTTACTTCGCCACGTACAATTATATTGGAAAACTTGTTTAGTGGAGAAACTACATCGCTTAAGCAGTTATAGGGTATTTTTCCTTCCATCCAGTCCAATCCGTTAATGTTTTTTCGATGAATATTATGTTGTTGTAATGTATCATAATTTAACTTCTTAATGTTGTATGGAGGTTTGAAGTGAAACAGGTTTGGTATTACAGTTCCTCCAGGCATGAAGGCCAATTCCTTAACAAAAATTTGAATGTTTATTTCCAACAACATATTGAAAATCTACTATAACGGAATTTGATCTATCAAATTTAGTCATTTTAGAATGACTGACTTTGGTGTCTACATTTTAGGTCTTTATATACCATTCATTTTATTATATAATACATGCATTATGTAATATATAATATAAAAGTTGCCCTCTTATCTTAGGAGTTTGTATATATGGATATATATTTCATTTCATTATTTCATTATACATAATGTATAATAAATATTTATATATGTTACCGCCGTCATAGAATTAAGTTTATATTTAAAAAACGAAATCGTTAAAATTAGTGTTGAATAATGTTTAGAATAAGTTTTGAAAAACGCTAGACGTAAGCTTATCGATATACGGAAAAATGGCGGAAGAACGAGGCGTTTGCGATCGCTAGGTGAAGCTAACGAGGCGAGGGAAAACGACGATGTTATTTTTAGCTCTCTCTCTCGCGCGCCATGATTTGAGTTTAAATAAAGGAAAGAACAACCAAATCCATGTTTGCTTAAAAAATCGTGCACCAACCTCGCCCCGACCTCAACATTTCTAAAAAACTTCCTCCAAAACTTCGTTACCTGCGGATTAAGGCAGAAAAACAGCGTCAGTCGGAGGCGACAAATTTTGGAAGTAACAAAAGTGAAGGCGTCGCGTCCCTAGCAGCCAAGGCTAGGTTGAGTTGAGCACGCCATTCTTGGGGAAAACCAGAACTCTTGCGGATAAAGGCAGATATAAGGCGTCGCGACCCTAGCAGCCACAGGCTAGGTCGAGTAAGCACGCAGTGAAAAAGAAGAAAAGCAGACGCCATATTGCACGCACGCCGGACGACGCGAAGCATGAACATTGAGGTGTGCAGAATTTGCGAGAACAAAAACGAAACAGCGTCAGAAAATTGGGTGCAGTGCGACGTTTGCGGAAGGTGGTACCATTTCGAGTGTGCCGGCGGAGAGGACGACATTGAGAGCAAGGATTGGAGCTGCGATTACTGTCTTGCGGGTTTGCAGCCACATAGCACCGTTCAGCGGTATGCAACGATCACCAGTACAGCCTCAAACACGTGAAGACGCAATGGATACCCCTGAACCGCACGGCAAAGCGCTAGCCGTCGATACGCTAATCGATACTGCCGGCAACGGAAAGAACATGAATGTTCGGAAAGGCAATCCGGACATGAACAAGAACCAACTCTTGTTAGATATGCTCAAGAAGAAAAGACAGTCTGAGGCAAAGTTCATAGAAGAAAAGTACAAAATTCTCATGCGGATGAACCCCGCTGACGTAGCGGTAGCTGGGATGTTTCGAGCCACAGATTCACCTACAAGTACTTAAATAGCGGCCCGGCAAGCTATACCCAAGGACCTTCCAACATTCAGCGGGGATCCTGAGGACTGGCCGTTAATTATCAGCACATTTGAACACAGTACGACAGCAGCGGGATATACGAATGTGGAAAACATGCTACGTCTGCAAAAGTCGCTTAAAGGGAAAGCTCGTGACTTGGTTAGAGATAGGGATGTCGGAAATATATCAAAATATCGATATATCGATATATTTTCTCTTAAAAAAATATTATTATCGTGATATTTTTTGGGCAAAAATAGTCGATAATAATATTTTTGAGTTGGTGTTCTCCGATATTAGTTGCGAAAGAAAGGAAATGCAGGTTTACTTGAGTATGCCATTTTGTAGTTGGGAGACAAATCCGTTGGAATTCTGGAACTCACAAATTTCAACGATGCCGATGCTAGCGAAGGTTGCTTTAAGTTTTCTTATCACGCCTGGAAGTTCGGTTCCATCTGAACGGTTGGCTTCTGCCATTAAATGTATTGTCTGTGACTCCCGTAGTCGAATGACACCCCAGCATATAACCGAAAGAGTTTTTTTTAAATCATTGAAGAAAGATTCATTTTGTAATTAAGAGTAATTAAGAGCATTAAATAAGAGAATTAAGTAATTAGCATTATTAAGTACATATTCCATGAATTCCATGAAACCTTTTTTTTTTTGTATTAAGTTTTTTTTATAAATAAATTTGAATACAATGTCCTTAATAATTTTGTTATTTTTTATTTCAAAGAACTTAAATAAAAGTTGCTTGAGAGTGGGTATAAATATTTGTTGTTTTTTCAATTCACTTTTTAAATAAAGAAATATGTCTTATTTGCAGTCCATGGCGGATGAAAACACATATTAAAACCTTTTTTTTAATTTAAAAATAACCTTTTTTCAAATTTAGCTGACTATAAAAAATATCGAAAATACTCGATATATCGATTTTTTTTGGTGATATTTCTGAATATTATCGATTGATATTTTTTTCACAGCAAATATCATCAATACGATATTTTTTCAAAAACCAACAACCCTAGTTAGAGATAAACTCCTACTTCCTAACCAAGTCCCAGAAGTCATCAGCACTTTGAAGATGTTCTTCGGCAGACCAGAGCACATCCTAGAAAGAATGGTGGAAAAGGTGCGAAGACTGGCGCCACCCAAAGACAGATTGGAGGCGTTAATAGAGTACGCGCTGGCAGTGCGAAACGTCTGTGCTACTATGGAGGCGTGCGATCTGAAGGCGCATCTCAACAATCCAATGCTGGTCAAGGAGCTGGTAGATAAGCTTCCCAACCAACACAAGCTAAACTGGGCAATGCAACCCCGCGACGATAGAGTGGCCGCAGTCAAGGCGTTCAGTGTTTGGCTGTATAAAATCGCAGAGGCAGCGTCATTAGTGGTGGCGCCATCGTTTTACAAAACGGGCGCAGTTAATTCCCACAATAGTCGCCGCCACCAGCACGAGGACAAACACGATCGAACGCGATCCATACTGAAGCAGCTCAGCAGCAAGTTCAACAGAGGTGCGTAGCTTGCGGCGACCCGAGTCACAACCCAGCACATTGTCAGGTATTCTTGAACCTTGACGCGGAGCACAGGTGGCAGGTAATCAGAGCGGGTAAAGCCTGTTTCTGCTGCCTCAAGGTACACCGGAACAGATGCCGAACCGGGAACTGTGAAATTAATGGAGACACCATGAATATGTTCCTAACACAATCGGCCAAGACAGACCACAGAGTCACGTGAGTACGCACCGAGACGACAACCACGGATGTCAGTTCTTTCGCATCATTCCAGTCAAGCTGCATTACGGCAGCAGGCAGACTGAGATCTACGCCTTTCTAGATGAAGGATCATCCGTGACCTTAGCAGATGCATCCGTATTCCAAAGATTGGGAATACAAGGCCAGGCAGCGCCAATGTGTTTGCAGTGGGCCGCACAGACGACTCGACTCGAGAGTGGGTCCGTGAAAGCATCCGTCCAAATCTCGGAAGTGAACTGCGATAAGGTTTACTGGTTGAACAACGTCCAGACCGTTCAGAACCTAGCATTACCGAGACAGACAGTCAACATGAAGGAGCTATGCGAAAGATTCCAGCATTTGAAAGACTTGCCGCTACGGTCCTACTCTGCCCAGCAGACTTTGCTAATCGGAACTAATAACTGGAAGCTAGCAGTCCCTCGCAAGATCCGCGAAGGAAAATGGAACGAGCCGATAGCATCGAAGTGCATGCTAGGATGGAGCATCCAAGGATCGGCGAACCCACAACGATTCATTTTCATGCACCACTGCGACTGCGACTGGCAAGAACTCTATGATGACATCAAGGAACATTTCAACCTTGATGCACTCGTACCACGAAAGCTGTACTCAGCTGAAGATGAGCTGGCAGCGAAGATACTGGAAAACACGTGCCAAAAGAAGTCCGGAAAATATGAAGTTGGACTTCCGTGGCGCGGTGGTATCGACAAACTCTCTGAGAGCCGGAGAAACGCTCTGAAGCGGCTTACTTGCATGAGGATAAAGGTCTCTCAAGAACCAGATCTGTATGAAAAGATTGACGCCCAAATCAGGAACCTCCTAGACAAAGGATACGCGGTTAAGCTATCCGAGGATGAAACCAGCCGGGAGAACAGCCGTACATGGTATCTGCCAATATTCATAGCGCTGAATCCAAACAAGCCGAAAAAGATAAGGCTCGTATGGGATGCAGCCGCAAAGGCACACGGACACGCGCTAAATGACTACCTACTCAAGGGACCAGATTGCCTGAACCCACTCATAGATGTCTTGCTAGCCTTTCGGGTCAACAAAATAGCGATTTGTGGTGACATTGCGGAAATGTTTCACAGGATCAACATTCGCGAGGAGGATATGCAGGCGCAGCGATTTTTGACAAAGGCAGCGACAAAGAAGACACCTATGTTATGCGAGCTATGACTTTTGGAATTAGCTGCGCGCCGTTTATAGCGCACTTTGTTTGAGATAAGAACGCGGAAACCCACCAAGAAGAGTTCCCATTTGCCTTAAACTCCATTTAAAGGGCGCACTACGTTGACGACTTCATCGAGAGCATGAGGAACGAACAGGAGGCCATCCAGATCACCAGACAAGTCATAGAAGTACATCGCAGAGGTGGATTTGAGATCCGTACCTGGTCATCGAATTCGGAAGAAGTACTTAAAAGCTTTCAGGATAATGGCAACGCTGGAACCCAAAAGCCCGTGGATTTTTGTGCAACAGAAAAGATATTTGGCATGTTCTGGGACCCACAAAATGATATCTTCAAATTTATCTGCATTTATCTTTTCAAGGCTGAAGCGTGATGTGCTGGCGGAAAACGCAGTCCCTACCAAGCGAGAAGTATTACAAGTTCTGATGTCGATCTTCGATCCATTGGGATTTTTATCATGCCAGACGATTGGACTAAAAATACTTCTCCAGTGCATATGGCGGCAAAAAATTGAATGGAATCAGGAGCTACCTGAGAGAATTCTAGAAGAATGGCGCCAATGGAAAACCATTTTGCATGACATAAGGACTTTCGAGGTCCCTAGATGCTTTTCCCCAGCCACATCGGAGCCATGTCAAATTGGACTCCATACATTCGTCGACGCCAGCGAGCACGCATATTCTGCAGTCTGCTACTTGCGTCGACAGAGTCGTCGTATCTTTGGTGATAGCGAAATCTAAGGTGGCACCTTTAAAACCACTTTCGATTCCGCGTATGGAGCTGCAGGCAGCAGTTATGAGAGCACGTTTAGTCCAAAAGGTGATGAGCACACGCAACCTACGAATTGACAACGCCACATATTGGTCGGACTCCAAGACAGTGTTGAAGTGGCTAACTATGGACCCCCGCAACTTTCATCAGTTCGTGATGCACAGAGTCGCCGAAATTCTGGAAACAACACTGGTCGAGCAATGGCGGTGGATTACTTCAAAGCTGAACTTGGCAGATGGAGCTACCAAGGTCACCGGGCAAAACCAACAAGAGACGTGGATATCGGGCCCGGAGTTCCTGAAGACCGATGCGAGCAACTGGCCAATATCCAAGAAGCAAGAGAGCATCATCGATAGCTCGGAGATCCGGAAGCATGTGACGACGCATACGAAATCAGTGGTTATGTTCAACGCGAACTATTTCTCAAATTGGCGGCGGTTATACAGAGCAGTAGCGCTAGTACTCCTGTTTATCGATTGGCTGCGATCGAAATCTGCCGGACAAGATATGCCAGCAACCACGACAATGGCTCATGTAAGCAAGGCAAAGATGCTGCTATACAAGCTATACAGGCGATCTCAATCCATCGCCTTCGCAGCAGAACTAAAAACGTTATCCGCGGAAACGGCGCTCCTCTAGGGAAGCAGATTGGCCGGATTGAACGCATACGTGGACAACGATGGAGTACTACGCACAAGAGGCAGATTGAACGCAGTTGACATAGCTGAGGACGCCATCATACTACATGTAGCTCATGGATGCCGGATATCCGACCTCATAGTTAGGAGCTTCCACGAAAAGTATCACCATCTCGCTCACGAAACTGTAATAAACGACATCAAAAATTCGTTTTATATCAGCCGGCTACGAGTATTGCACAAATCTGTGAGAAACACATACCAACGATGCAAGATCGACAGAGCAGTTCCCAGACCACCCCAGATGGCACCGATCCCGAGGGCAAGAGGTGGAAGCTTCGAGAGGCCGTTCACCTATACAGGCGTTGACTATTTTGGCCCGTTATTGGTGAACGTCGGCCGTCGCAAAGAGAAGAGTTGGGTAGCTCTGTTCACCTGTCTTACGTTGCGCGAGGTGCATTTTGAGATCGCGTACAGTCTAGATACTAGTTCATGTATCATGTGCCTACCCAATTTTATGGCCCTTCGAGGGACACCGAGGGAGATATTCTCAGACAACGGTACAAATTTCAGAGCCACGGAAAAAGCCGTGCGCGAGGAGCTGAAAAAGATCGAGCACGATAAGATCACTATTAAGTTCGACGGCATAAAGTGGCGATTCAACCCATCAGGAGCACCGCACATGGGTGGAGCATGGGAGAGACTCGTCCGGACAACGAAAGGAATCTTGAAGAACATTTGCCCAAGTTACTCTTTCAACGACGAGGGGTTGAGAAACGCACTGAAGGAGGCGCATTTTATCATCAACTCGCGACCCCTCACGTTCGTAAGTTTGGATTCCGAGGATGACGCTGTCCCGACTCCAAACCACCTGCTGCTAGGATCAGCGAACGGATACGCTGATACCTTTCAGCAAAAGGTACCTCCAATCACCATCGGAAGCTTTATTAAGCGTCGCTCCACCACCACAAACTTATTGGAGTTGACATCCTTTGTCATAGATGGCTTTTGTAAGGGATATCAAACCGATGTAATTTACACAGACTTCAGCAAAGCATTTGATTCAGTTAATCACTCACTCTTGTTGAGTAAACTAAATATACTGGGTTTTCCTAAAGACCTCTTAACGTGGATCTCCAGCTGCCTAGATGGAAGGACACAAAGAGTCTTATTTAAAAACATACAGTACCGTCTGGTCCGTGCTACATCCGGCGTCCCTCAAGGAAGTCATCTTGGCCCGTTATTATTTACGTTTTTTATAAACGACTGGCCCCCTGCTTTAACGAACTCTCTAGTTCTTATGTATGCGGATGATGTAAAGCTTTGTCTTCAGTACAAGTCCATCTCTGCCCAATGCAGTCTTCAGTCTGACCTTGATAACTTTCAAAAATGGTGTTTAGCTAATGATCTAATACTTAATGGATCGTTCTTTTTATCGTTCTTTCCCTCTGCAAGCTACTTATTCTATTAATGGGATTGCCTTAGAAAAATTAACCCAGGTTAATGATCTCGGCATCCTATTAGACATCAAACTTAAATTTGTCGACCATATTTCCTTAATGGTTAATAAGGCTAAAGGAGTCCTTGGTTTTATCAAAAGGTGGTCAAAAGAATTTAATGACACCTATATAACCAAAACATTATTTATTTCCTTGGTCCGTCCTATACTAGAGTACGGTTCATGTGTCTGGAGTCCCCAATATGGAGTACATAAGGACCGCATAGAATCCGTACAAAAGAACTTTTTAATATTTGCACTTAGAGGTCTATACTGGGATGCAAATCTTCAACTTCCATCCTACAGTAGCAGACTTTTACTTATAAACTTACCTAGCTTAACAAATCGTAGGACAATGCTCGGTGTAGTTTTTCTGCATAACCTGATTAACGGGGATGTAGATAGCCAGCATTTACTAACACGCTTAAATTTTAACATTCCTAATAGAAGGACTCGAAACTTTAGTCCTCTGTTCCTTAGCCGTTGTAGCTCGACATATGCACTGAATGACCCTTTTAGGGTATTATGTTCGAACTACAATGGTCTCTACTCTATTACATCTCTTTCCTGTCCCTCTAGTTTAAAATATAGAATTTTAAATTTCCTTACTAACTCCTCTTAGCTTAACAAATTTCAAATAGCTTAATATGTACTAACAAATCGTTTCTCGAGCGCCCCTCGGTCGTCTGGGCCTCTAAGCTTTATGATGAATACCGGAATGCTAGCTGATGCTCTTATTGATGCACAAGCCATTCCCAAATTCTGAAAGACCGCGAAAAAAAAAAAAAAAACAAAGCATCGTCGTAGTCGTGGATGAGCTTCTTCCCAGGAACCTGTGGCTAAAAGGACGCGTGACTGACGCAATGATGGCCAACGATGGACAAGTTCGGCGGGTTACCATCAAGATGCAGCATGGTGCTATAGAAAGACCAGCAACAAAGGTAGCAGTTCTGGACGTCGACTTGGAAAATGGTAACTGACCACGGATCGGGATCAATTACGGGGGAGGGAATGTTATCGCCGTCATAGAATTAAGTTTATATTTGAAAAACGAAATCGTTAAAACTAGTGTTAAATAATGTTTAGAATAAGTTTTGAAAAACGCTAGACGTAAGCTTATCGATATACGGAAAAATGGCGGAAGAACGAGGCGTTTGCGATCGCTTTTTATTTTTAGTTTTTTTAGTTTTTTTTTAGCACTCTCTCTCGCGCTCAGATCAGATAAACAATATGTTCTGATACTAAATCAATTCGGTAAAAAAATTGAAATAGATAGTGACACTTGGAGATCATTAATTCGCCTAGCTATATTTATACCCTTGCAGAAGGTATTATAATTTTGTCCAAAAGTGTGCAACGCAGTGAAGGAGACATCTCCAACCCTATAAAGTATATATATTCTTGATCAGGATCACCTCCTGAGTTGATATGAGCATGTCCGTCTGTACGTCTGTCTGTCCGTCTGTCTGTCTGTCCGTTTCTACGCGAACTAGTCTCTCAGTTTTGAAGCTATCGTCTTGAAACTTTGCACACACCCTTCTTTCCTTTGCACGCAGTATATAAGTCGGAACGGCCGGGATCGGCCGACTATATCCTATAGCTGCCATATAACTGATTGATCGGAAATGGTATAACTTTGGTGTTTTTAGAGTTAGAGACTTCAAATTTGACATGAGAGCTATTTTGGGCAACAAATTACGACATGCCAAATTTTATAAGGATCGGCCTTAAATTTTATAAGGATGTTTTTGAAGATAGAAAGCTGGAACTTGGTACAGATTATATTTTTAGGAAATTTCATTAGGATCGGCCAACTATATCCTATAGCTGCCATATAACTGAACGATTGGAAATGGTATTTGGTAGATATATCAACTTTCTTATTTTTGAAGATAGAAGCTTGGGACTTGTTTTAGATTTTTTATTTTAGTTAATTGGTTTTATTATGATGTGTTCATAAGGATCGGCCAACTATATCCGATGTTTGCGATATATATCCGGTTTTACCCGCAAGGGTATATAAACTTCGGCTCCGCCCGAAGTTAGCTTTCCTTTCTTGTTTTAACTACAAATATCCTATCTGTACTATAATCATATCATTCCAAAGTGTGTCTCTTTACAAAAATTTGATATTCAATTATCCGATTTAGAAGGTAACTATGATAAAAACGTTCAAATAGATTTAACACGTTTATGTTTCGAAATATCTAAAAAATGACAAAAGAAATAAAAGAAGATGTAAAAGAAATCATTAATCTCTAAGACCTCAAACATTAACAATAAAAAATAAGTTTTTTTTAAAATAAAAATGAGTAAGCAACAAGTTGTTGAGAAATACATAAAACTTGTAGAAAAAATTTTTTACGTCGAAAGTTTGTTCAAAAAGGGTTGCATGATACTTGGCAAATTGATTTGGTTGAAATGATCCCATATTCCAATCAGAATAATGGATATAAATATTTACTA